CTCCCTTGTTCCCTTTCCCTCCTTCCCTTCCCCCTCTCTCCACGTGGACCACCAAGCTGGGCTGAGGTGAGCAATGTTGCTATGTATCATGCCTGACTGTATTGTATTATCTCTCATGCTCTCGATGACTTTAATATAATACTTATATATCTCAACCGTACAATTGTGCATTACTGAACCCAGAAGTAGTATTACTGAACTCGTAGGAGTAGCAGCGGGTGGGGGCTGGCCCCTCCACCTCCCTCAGCGTCAATTATTATTATTTTTTAATTTAATACTACAGAGCAAGGATTCGAACTGTTTTATCTCTTCAGAAGGCCAGCTCTTGGCAGCCCTAAGACACGCCACAGCAGCCCACTGCTCCATCTTTCTTGATGCTTTCCCCCCAGGGTCTCTGCCGCCCTGTTACCCCAGGTACCCAGTCTGCATCATGACCACATCCCAGAGAAGATGGCATCGGCTACGTAACTCATCCACGCGCCAGTCCTAGTGTTCACTTGGCCGTTAAAGATGGTGTGTGCCGAGGGCAAGGCTTCACCCAGCAAACAGAACGCCCCAGCAGCGGCGGGCTTGTATGCTGTGGTGAGGGGGAATCTGGAGGTGGTCAAGACCACCCTGATTGCTCCACTTAGGCCTCTGGAGGCAGCCCTCCCTCTGCTGGCCCTCAGCACATCCCTGGCCCCCTGCCTTAGTACTGCAGGCACACTACACATAGCCCGCCCTAGGTGCACCCGGGCTTGCAACCTCTGCTTCCCTTTCCCATGTGCAGGGAGAAGAAATCTCCCCCTGGGCCCCAGAGGCAGGCCTTCCTGTGAGAGGCTGCCCCACCTCAGCCAAGGGCTCAGGTCCCGCCCTTTCCCACCAAGGAGAAAATAGCAAGAAAAACAGATGAGGGCTGATACCCTACGCCCCAGTGCCTGCTGGGACCGGGGCCTGGAGGAGCCCCAGGAAAGCTTTAACCTCAGGTTCTAGGCAGACAGGAAGGGAGAGGGGGAGTGGAGGAGCAAGAACCCTCTCTAGTTAGAAGTTGCTCACCACTCCACTCCCCCCACCCCACCACCACCACCTGGGACACGTTTTTTTTGCCCAGCTCTTCTCTCTCAGTTGGTCATCATTGCTCGGCTGTGGGTCCTGGGCTGGACACCCAGCCCCCCCTGGTCCTCAGGCTGGCCAGCAAGGCTGGAGGCACCTGGCCCATCTCCATCCCAGGCAGCACCTTCTTTCAACAGGCTTTGCACCACTGTCAGGCTCCTGAGTCAGAGAGCCCCCAGCCTGCCACCGCCCCCCCCACACCCCATCTCCATCTCAGGGACCCACATCAGCCTACTGCCTGCAGGGGAGCGGGCCTTAGAGTCAGGGGACCCAAGCAAGTGATTGCCCAGTGGGGGCTTCACCTGTGGAATTGCGTTGTCTGTGCTGTCCTCCTCGCAGGCTGGCTGTGAGGTGGCCTGAGACTTGGATGGGACATAAACAATAGAGGTGATGGCACCAGTGGAGAGGGCTGTCTGGTCTCCTGGCTCCTTTTGCAGCTGCAGCCCTGGGTGGTCCTGATGAGGGCCGCTGGGACCTGCCCCACCTTCCCCCTGGCCAGCGGTGGCAAGCTCTCCACTCTGCCTGTGAACAGCTGTGCCTGTGCCTTTGGCCTCTCCTCAAAGACTCGTGCCCGGAGTGGCTTTCATCCGAGGGGACGCTGGGATCAGGAACAAGGCCTGACCACAGGCATTCACAGCCATTGGACGGTGTCTGCTGAGCGTCTAGAAATGGGAGTTGTCTCAGGTGTGAGTGTTTCTAGGGGCTTGAAAGGTCATGAGCTCAGGTAAAGGAAAACCGGCCTGGGAGAGACACATTGTGGGCACCTGACCGTGACCACACTGCTTAACTCACTGTGCCCCATGACCCTGCTTCTGACTCACTCAGCCTCCCTGCCGCTGTGGGGCTTCTGAGGCTGTGAGTCTTACAGGAGCTGGGGACCCCCGCTTTCTCCCCAAGAACGGCTGGTGGGCTGAAACTCTCGACCTCACCGCTAGCCATCCGAGGCTTACCGGACAGCACCCGGTGCTTGCATTCTGACTTCCAGTGACCCCAGCCCAGAGGTTCTAAGACTGTAAATCTTTATGGGGGCAGACGGCCTCATGTCCTCCCCTGGGTTTGAATGGCTGGCTTTGCAGTTAGCAGCTCCCCCAACCCCCTGGGCCCTGGTTACGCTGCCCAGAACACGATTCCAAGTGGGCTGTACTCACAAGAGGGTGCAAGGCCGAGGGTCAGTTAAGACAGTTCAGGGAGATGCCAGTGAACAAGGTTCTTGTACTGTGAGTCAGGGAGGACATCACAGGGAGGATGGGGAGGCAACTGGACTCCTCAGTGGCCCCTGGAGTGATGGCGAGATCAGAAAGATGTCCCCAGGCCTCTCCTAGTGCTTTTCTTCAAGATGGGGTGGGCCCCAACACAGCTGCTTTCTCCACCCTGCAAAGCATCCCTTCCCTCATGGTGCAAAGGTTTCCCTGGGCGGTGGACTTTGCTCCAGGGGTCTGGAACTGTTGGCCAGGCTAAGAGGGACCCTGAAGAATTCCTGCAAGTGGAGGAGCAGGCTGCAGATGTGGCCAGAAGAGCGGCGTGTTGGGGGCTCTCCGTGCGCACTCGGGGAGCTCGGGGGCCAGTGGACGTGCGCGGGAGGGCGCCCCATTCATCTCAGATGCTGCACTGGAAAAAAACAACTGGGCAGGCTGCCGCTGCCGCTGCGGAGCCAGTGCCTGGTGGAGCGGGATGGGCCCAGCCTGGGCACTCGTGCCAAGGCAGCGTGTGGGCCGAGGACACAGTGGCTGTGGGCTGGTTTGATTTAGAGGGCAGTAGGGAGCCCAGAGGGTTGAAACCCTCCGTCCTCCCCTGTGGCTCGCCCCTCCTGGCCCTCGGTCAGCCTTGCCTGTCGACTGCCTAGGCCTTTCTGCACTCTGGGGGCAGGCGGGTCTTGAGCCTTTCAGTAAGCAATAGAGTACATTAGCTATTTGCACCATCCGGTGTAACACAACCCCAACCCCCCAAATCCCAGCTTTTCATCCGTCAGGGAAGAGAGGCACTGGCCTTCCCCACCTTCTCTGAAATCCCATAAGAAAATAGAGCTACTCTGGGAGTTATTGAGACAGACGTCTGGTGTGCTCCTTAGAGGCCAGGATGGCAAACCTTCTTCTCACATACTTTGGAGACATTGTCTACAAATGCTTCCGAATGGTTGGGGAGCTCCGGTCCTTGACGTCATCCTGCTTGTTTCCGTCAAAGTACACATTTCCACCCTAATTGCCTGGTTTATTTATCTCCTGGCTTTAAAGCATTAGCTCTGTCTCTTCACCCCAAATAAAAGCTACGCAGAGGGGGGCTTCTTTCTCTCACTCCCAGCACAGCGACAAAGGCCTGGCCTGGGAAGGCCCGCCAGCGCTTGCAGAATGAGTGCACGGAGCGCACGTGCAGAAGTGAGGGAACGGATACCAGAGAGCACCCGGCACGTTGGAGCAGCGCCGAGAAAGCCAGTCTTCCTTCCTGAAAATCAATCCCAGTTGGCTCTGGAGTGCGGAGCTGGTCTCTGGTCCCTGGAGTGATTAGAAGGGCCGGGAGGGTGACGACGACGGGTCGTGGATAGGGAAGAGGCACGGCCCGATGGGTCAGCACCCAAGAAGAGGAGCTGACGTGGGCTCTGTTGGTTGTAGCCACAGGCCCAGTGGGCAGGCTGGTGGCTAATCACCGGCTGGTTGGGTCCACGGAGGCATGCGGTAAGCATCTGTAGCTGTGGGGGCAGAGCTGCCATCTTCTGTCGGCCGGCCGGCGATCTCCTTTGAACCTCTGTCTCCTCGTCCTTCAAGTGGACATTCGCTCCAACAGCACTCTCCTGCCCCCTGAGGGCTGTAGTGGAGGGATGGTGAGGTGCCCAGCAGGCTGGCAGAACACCTTAGGGCAGTGGTTCTCAACCTTCCTCATGCTGCGACCCTTTCATACAGTTCCTCATGTGGTGGTGACCCCCCAACCATACAATTATTTTCATTGCTACTTCATCACTGTCGTTTTGCTCTGGTTATGAATTGGGCGACCCCTGTGAAAGGGTTGTCCGACCCCTAAAGAGGTGGCAACCCACAGGTTGAGAACCACTGCCTTAGTGCACATTTACTCTGACAATCTGTAGGCCCCCTGGTGGTGTACTGGTTACGAGGTGGGCTGCTGGCCCCGAGGCCATCAGTTCAAAACCACCAGCTGCTCTGCAGAAAGATGGGGCTTTCTACTCTCATATGAGTCAGGCTCAGAAACCCACAGGTGCACTTTGACCCTGCCCTCTAGGGCCACCAGAAGTAGGCAACGACTTGATGGCCGTGAGAGAGACAGAGAGAGAATATCTTTCACCAAGGAACCCTGGTGGCTTAGTGGACTATGTGTTGGGTGTAGGCACTCCGGGGGAGAAAAATGGGGCTTTCTACTCCTGTAATGACTCAGAGCCTGGGAAACCCACAGGGCCAGTTCTACCCTGCCCCCCACGGCCACTGTGAGTCAGGATCCACTCCAGGGCAGTGAGTTTGCTGTGAGGTTTCACCTTGATTAAGGCGTCCCTGGTGGGGGGTGCAAACGGTCACCTTGCTCGGCTGCTAGCCGAAAGGTTGTCAGTTCCAGCCCACCCCATGGTGCCTCAGAAGAAAGGCCAGCTGAGCCATCCTGAAAAAGCCCACCACCGAGCACTGAGGACCCTGTGACACGCATTCTACTCTGACACACCGGGGCTGGGGGAGGGGGTGGGGCGCTGTGAGTGGAGGCTGACCCTAGGGCACCTGGTGTTTTCATCTAGAGACCCCAGCCAGCTGGGAGGCCAGCCTCTGCTGTGCGATCCCTACCCAGGTTCCTCTACCTGTGGGGAACTGAGCCCAGGCATGGCCAGCCCGGGGCCTGCACTTTCGATGCCCTCTCTAGCAAACACAGGGGTGCCCCAGCTGTGGGCTCTGTTCTCACTGTGCCCTCCTTGCCCTCAGGTACAAGACGGTGGTGACCCCGCGGAGGGCCGTGGTGGCCATCGCCGGCTGCTGGGTCCTCTCCTTCGTGGTGGGCCTGACCCCGATGTTCGGCTGGAACAACCTGAGCCAGGTGCAGCAGGCCTGGGTGGCCAACGGCAGCGTGGGTGAGCCGGTGGTCCAGTGCGAGTTTGAGCAGGTCATCAGCATGGAGTACATGGTCTACTTCAACTTCTTCGTCTGGGTGCTGCCCCCGCTGCTCCTCATGGTCCTCATCTACCTGGAGGTCTTCTACCTGATCCGCAAGCAGCTCAACAAGAAGGTGTCGGCCTCGGCGGGCGACCCGCAGAAGTACTACGGGAAGGAACTGAAGATCGCCAAGTCGCTGGCTCTCATCCTCTTCCTCTTCGCCCTCAGCTGGCTGCCCCTGCACGTCCTTAACTGCATCACCCTGTTCTGCCCCTCCTGCCAGAAGCCCAGCATCCTCATCTACATCGCCATTGTCCTCACCCACGGCAACTCGGCCATGAACCCCATCGTCTACGCCTTCCGCATCCACAAGTTCCGGGCCACCTTCCTCAAGATCTGGAATGACCACTTCCGCTGCCGGCCGGCGCCCCCCATCCAGGACGGCCTCCCCGGAGAGAGGCCGGATGACTAGGCTGCCCCCTGCCCCCACCAGCCCCATGCGCAGCGGGTCTCCGCTGCTTCCCACCTCCCAGCTCTCCCACCTGTCTCCCTGGGCTGTGGGCTGGCGGGGAGCGGGGTGCAGACACAAGCAAGGAGCTGGGGCCCCTTGCAGGGAGCCCGTGGAACTGCTCCTTAAGGTCCTGGAGGAAGTGTGGGAGGATGGAGCTGGGAAGGAACCAGTCCACGCCCCCTGTGGGGGGAAGAGGAGGAGGAGGAGAAAGGGGCCATGAGCTTCCCCACCTCCTTGGCCCTGACCCATGGGCAGTTCAGGGAGACACCTGGGTGGGGAGAGGGTGCTAGGACAGGGGTGGGCCAGCCCTGGGACGAAGCTGAAGGAGAGGATGCTCTCGGGATGGAAGGGAGGCAGGGGTCTTGGCCCGCTTTCTCTCCTGCTCTGTCACACGGAGAAGCAGGGAGACAAGAAGCTCAGTCCCCACCCCCAGGGTACTCTGCCTGCTCTCCTTGCCCAGGGAGGAGGTGGGGGCGCAGGCTAGCGTAGGAAGTGGCCGAAAGAGTGGGTCCAGAAATCATTCCCGACATTTGCTTTATTCTTCACGAGCTGGTGGACCCTGAGTGGGCCCTGAGAGCAGGTTCTCCTTAGCCCGGGGAGTGTGTTGCCCTGGGCGTGGGCCTCAGACAGCCACCAGGCGGTAGCACCGAGCCCCGTTGTCCCTGAGTGTCCCAAGGGGCCACCTGGAGTGGCACTCTCGGCCATCTGAGTCCCACCAGCCTGAGGCCAGGCCTGGACTCTCCTAGGGGACATCCATCTCTGCTTCCTCTGGCTGGTAGGAGAGGAGCCTGCCACGGTTGGGGACATTCTGCCTGCTGGGGAAGGGTGGAGGAGGGAAGGGCCTGCCTCTGGAGGGAGGAGCCGTTACAAGACCGGCCCAGGGCAGGTGAGACGTGGCACACCCATGTGTGTGCGTGCGTGCGTGTGGAAGGGGCGGGGTGGGGGAAACAGCTTTGCTGGCACCTGGTGCTCCCAGCACCAGCAGTTTTCCCTGTCTCCTGGAAAGCTGTTGCAGACAGTCTGGGCCCGAGGGCCAGCCCAGACCCCGCTGACCCCCCACCTCCCGCCCGCCCCCACCACAAGCCCGGGCCTCTCAGGTAGAGGAGGGTAGCACCAGGCATGGTGTGATGATGTCCAAGTGTGGATTGCAGGCCCTCTCCTCTCTCAAAAGGGGCAGAGTGGTTCAGTGGCTGCTAATCTATGGTCGGTGGTTCTGACCTGCCAGCGGCTCCCTGGGGGAGAGATGTGGCTGTCTGCTCCCGGGAAGACTGACCGCCTTGGGAACCCGTGGGGGCAGTTCTACTCTGTTCTGGGGGGTCCCTGTGAGTTCATCTTTTCCCACTCTCAGAGCTGGGGTCTCCCCTGGTTCCCAGGGAGGGCCGTGTGACTAATAAAAGACTGTGAACTTACCTGGAGTGTGCCTTGCTGGCTACCCCACCCCCACTGTTGTAGGGCAAGAAGACAGCCAGGGTAGGGGAGGGGAGGTGCCAGGGAAGGGGGTGTGGAAGCCTTTGGAGCTCGGGGTGTCTATCCCTAGGGTGTTGCCTCAGGGTTAGCAAGATCCTGAAAATCACAGCGGCGTGTCAAGAAAATCCTCAAGACATCCGCGGCCCCTCCCTTAGGCACCTGTCTCCGGTGGCACATCTGAACACCACCCCGTGGTGACGTGAGCCATCCCTCTGGATGGCGTTTCTGCCAGAGGCCCCTGCACGGAACATCACACACCTTTATTGGAACGCTTCTAGCCAGCACCAGGCCCACTCTAGGGGTGCTCGAAGTGTGCCACCCCCCAGGCTCAGTCTTGCCCGGGATGCCCAGGTAGAGCTGACCAGGCCTACCCCACCCCACCGGGGGGACTGGCTCCAGCCTGTGCGGGTGGACGGTCAAGCTGGTACAGGTGGCCGCTCCTTGGCTGTCACCATGGAAACGGGCAGGCGTTGGGAGGCTGGGCCCTGGCGTCTGCTGGGAGCCCTGGAGTCCGGTGGAGCTGGGTGCCACATGCCCTGCCGGGAGAGATGCGGGTGAAGGGAAGGGAGGGCAGCCCCTCTCTTTCTTCCAAGGCCCCAGGAGCCCAAGCCTGGGCTTCCTTCCTTCGGCAGCGCCTCGGAGCCCCAAGGAGAAGAGTCAGGCAAGAGGCCGGCTGTGCCCTCCCGAGGAAACAGGCCTAAGGAGAAGGCCCCTGCCCAGGTCCCCCAGAGCCAGGACTAGACCCGTCGCTGTCTCATAGCCATCTACCTAGTCAGCCGGCTGCCGGGCCTCCCCCATGTCTCTGGCGTGTGTGCTCATTGTATGTGACTTGTACCTGCATGCGCTGGCAGGCTGTTTGCCCTCAACACCTGCTGGCAGGCTGCCTTGCTATCTCCGTAGCATCCCAGGAGACAGCAGAGGGGCTGGTCCAGCCACTTACCCTGCTTCTCCCTCTCCTCGCCGCCGCCTCTGGTCCCTCCTCAGTGTGTGGCTGATGCTGTGGGAGATGCCGGGGGTTGGAGTCGAGGGCCCGAGGGGTGGGGCGGGGTGGAACTGAGAGCTCCAGAGGGCACATCCTTACCCCGGCCACGGTGAACTCCGCCACCTCCTTCCCGACATTGGTCCGTGTCCCCACTTGAACATCCTCTGGGAAGCCTGCCCCCCATCTAGTCCACCTGCCCTGCCCGGCCCTCTTGTCTTGGGTGACAGCCCTTTCTGGTCCACCTTCTCAGAGAGTGACCCCTCCTGCCCCGCCCCCCAACCCGAGGGATGCCCCTACAAAAAAACTCCCTACCAGCCCTCACCTTTGACCTCCAGGTGGCAGTCCACCGACGCCTCCCCCAGCACGTTGACCGCCTTGCAGGTGTAGACGCCCGAGTCGAAGGGGCTGGGCTTGCGGATCTCCAGGGTGCAGACGCCTTGCTCAGAGAGGGCCCGGTATTTGGGGTCCCCCTGGATGTCCATCTTGTTTTTCATCCAGGTGATCTTGGCCTGGGAGAGCACAGAGGAGGGCTGGGGATGCGCTGGGCCCTGGACTCGGGCTGGGAGGCTTCCTCAATCCGCTTGCCCCTGCCCACCCTGCTGAGCCTGCCCCTCTCACCTTGGGGGATGCCCGGACACTGCAGAACAGCTGAGTGCTGTAGCCAGGGGTGGACCTGTGGTCAGCCAGGGGCTGTGTGAATGAGGGGGGCTCGGAAAAGTCTCGCTCAGTAAACCCCGTAGATTTAGCACCAATATCTAGATTCAGGGGAGAGAGGGGTCAGCGGGGAGCTCGTAGGACCACACTTGTCTGTTTTCTGTATAAACCCCCCTACCTTACATCCATCCATCCATAGCTTACATCCCTGAAGGAGCCCTGGCAGCGCTCGGGAGTGGGGGTGTTACACACTGGGCAGCCAACCACAGGTCAGCGGTTGTTGCCCATCAGCCCCTCCGAGGGAGAAAGATGAGGTTTTCTGCTCCGGTGAAGATTTACAGCCTTGGAAGCTCACAGGGGTGGGTCTACCCATCCTACCCAGTTGCTTTGAGTCAGAAAAAAAGCGCAAGAGCACTGGGGTGGCTGGCTCTTTCTGTTCTTTCACTGATCACACAGTGGCCTCGGTAAGTGATGGGCCATCACCTGACAGGTGAGACGCTAAGGCCCTTAGTGGGGAGTGACTTGCCTAAGAGGGTCAGGGCAGGGATTTGGGGGTTGGGGGTGGCAGGAAGCTCAGAGAGATGAGAGGAGGGTGGCCGAGGGTGGAGACCAGCAAGTCAGGGCTGCCGTATTTCATTTCTGTTTGCCTGTGGAGACGTCCCCGGCCTCTCTATTTTCAAACAGCATCTCCTTCCTCCTGTACAGCCAGGCTGCTGTGAAAGAGGGGGCCTTCTGGAGCCCACCCAGGCTCCATGTAGGGGGGCGGGGGGCCCGGGTGCACACAAGGTCCCCATGGGAAGAGGCCTGGGGAGTTAACAAATGACGCAAGAAGGTGGGTCAGCCGCCTGTGCTGCGTCAGTAAACACCCGTATCTCTCTGTCCATCTCTGCGGCTTCTGGCAGGGCCGGGAGGCTGGGGAGCTTAATAAACTTCCCAGAGTCCACCCCTCCGTTTGCACACCCTCATGAGACCAATGAGCCCTGTGCATCTTTACAAGAAGTCCGCGGCCCCCTGCGGAGGGAGGGGCTGCTGGTTGGGTCTGTGCAAACCCACCAGTTGCCTCCATCCCATCCATGCAGTAGCAATGTGTGACTGTGCTCGCTCAGCGCTGCCTGCAGAGTGGGTGTGAGGAGCGCAGCATGCGCTCCCGGGTGGGCCCCCAACAGCCCCCAGAGAGGGGAAGCCCAGCCAGCCCCGGCGCCCCTTCCAGTTGGTCGGGGCCCAGACCCACCTGCCTTCTGGATGTGGGCCAGCTCCTTGGTGACGGCCGCCGAGTCGCTGAGCCCGCACTGGTTTTCGGAGAAGACCCGGAAGGAGTATGAGTTGCCCACGATGAGGTTGGAGAGGGTGCAGGTGGTGGGGTGGTAGCGCTCCAGCACCGTGAACCATTGCTGCGAGAGACCCCAGCCCGTCAGCCTCCCTGCTCTGCCGGCTCGGTCCGGCAGCCATTCCTCTTTCCGGCCCCCTCATAGTCCCGGGAGCCCCAGCTGTGCGGCTTTGGGCCTGAGGGGCTTGCGATAGGGCAGATGGACAGCGGGGTCACTCTGCTGACCTCCCTGGGTTCTCAGGACTCTCAAGCCTCACTCCTTCAAGGGAACCCCAGGGGTGCGGCGTTTAAGTACTCTGCCACGCACTCCCAGGTCTGCACTTTGACCCCACCCGCCTCTTCGAGGGAGAGAGATGCGGCCGGCCAGCTGCATCTGCAATGACTGACAGCCTCGGAAACCTCACGGGGCCATTCTACTCTGCCCCACACGATGGCTGTGGGGTCGAATCCAATAGACAGACAGCCGCCACTCAACGTGGCCCACGGACCTGCAGCCTCAGCACCACTAAGGAGTTTGTTGGAAATGCAAGGTCTTGGCCCCTACCATGCTGAATCTGAATCAGGATGTCAACCACCCCCACCTCTGAACGCTTTGGCTCAGATGGCTGATGGACATGGTCAAATATAGGAATACCCACAAGGTTGGGTTTCAGACCCACCCAGAGGCGCTGGCCACGGAAACCTAAGGAGAAGTTCTATTATGCACGCCAGGGGCCCCCTCCAGCTGGGACCCACTTGTCGGCAGCCAAGGAGGAGGAGAACTTGGATGGCCTTAGAGAGTCTGGCCAGCTGCTCCCTTGGAGGACCCAGAGGCCCAGAGAGGGAAGAGGTCTTGTTAAAGGCCACACAGGGAGTTGGGCTCGGGAAGTTAGTCCAAGACACAGTACTCAGACCCAATGGACGGGCCTGTGACCCCCTCCCCCGCAAGTGCCCCAGCCAGCCTCACCCCTGTCTTTTTGTCTGCTTTCTGCACTGTGTAGCCCAGCAGCTCTGTGTTGCCTGTGTCCTGGGGTGGTGTCCATTCAAGGGCAGCATTACAGCCCCAGACATCCAGTAGCCGGATGCTGCCGGGGGGTGCAGGTTTCTCTGCAGGATGAGAGTGTGAGGAGGGGCTGGTGAAGGCGGGCCCTGCCACCGAGTCCCCACCCCTCACACTTGGCTCCAGTCCCACTTCTCTGGCCTGCTCCCGCCAGCCCCCAACACTGGGCTAGAAGTGGGGGCTCCCCAGCAGGTGGGCCATCCCCCCTGCCCCGGCTCTGTACCGATCACCAGGATGTCAATGGCCGCCTTGGCCTCCAGGCCTTCCAGCTGCAAGGTGAGCTCGTAGCAGCCCGAGTCGGAGCGCCGGGCCTTGCGGATGAAGAGGATGGAATCCTGGTCCCCACTGCGCACACTTGCCTGCTGGCTGTCGAGGGCCTGGCCGTTGTGAGTCCACGAGGCCTGGGGCTTGGGCTTCCCCTGTGGGAGAGGAGCTCTCAGGTCAGGCACAGGAAGGTGCTGGCACCCTGTGCACACCCAGCTCAGGACTCCGTGCCCAGGGTGGCCTGTCCCATGGGCTCTCCCTGAGGTCAC